GGGGGGGTCAGTACTCGGTGAGCATTAGTGGCGGGCTGTGGTGATAACGACCATCCTAAAGCGGGCCGAAGTTCGACGCGGACCGGGACGTCGAGGGTCCAGGTGGGGGGTGCGCGACAGGTGGCAGGTGTTCGACACTGGCGGCGCTCTGCCAGTCGGGCGCAAGCGATGGGTCCAGCGGGCAGACTCTGTGCGGCGGTCCTGGTGCTCTCGGCGGCGAGCTGCCTCCTGCCATGCCGGGCTGCTCCCCCCGGAGATATCCCGTCGGAGACGGAGCCCCAGCTCGGGCCGGACTACGAGACCAGCACGCAGGAGCAGCCCTCGGATGGGGACCCGACGGAACCTCCACCATCATTAGGGGCCCCCCTGCCCCCGACCATCATCGCCGTCCCCACGTGGAGGTCGTGTCCAGATCGCGACGAGTACAGGGACCCGTCGGGCAAGTGCAGGAAGAGGTTCATAACCGCCAAGTGAGTCTATCCCAAAAGCCGCGGTACCTGGGAGGTCCCCATCCGTCCCTAGCCCCAGCCCCCCCCCCTCCCCCCCTCATGCCGCGGGGCGGTCGCGGAGGAACTGCGCGATCGCGGCGCGGCGGGTCCCAGTCCCAGTGCAGACATGGCGGCCGCCGTGCTCCTGCTGTGGTGCTGCGCGCTGCTGGCCGCGACCCGGGCCGCCCCTTGCCACGGCGGCTGGCTCAACGCGTCCCCGGAGACCGAGACCCCCGTGTCGGCGCCTCTGGCTGCCCAGCACCAGCCCCAGTCCCAACCGCTGCTGTCCGAGGCCGAGGCCGCGGCCGCGGCCGACCAACCCGGCCTGGCTGACGACGACGGAAACAGGCGGCTCCCCGTCCGCACCGTCGGGGTCGAGGCCGGTTCGTCCGACCCGAACAAGGACAACCGAATCATCGTGGTCCCCCTTTGGAACTCGTGCCCGGAGGGCCACTACCGCGACAGGAGCGGGAAGTGCAGGAAGAGGTTTTGAAGTGGACGCGCGGTGAGTGTTGGAATCATCTGAGCACGGCGCGCTGCGCATCTGAGTCATGTTTTCTCTCCTCCCGGGCCGCAGTTTATCAATTGACGAACGTATGAGAGTATTTTGATGTAATATCAGATCGTCGCCTTTATCGCCATGACTCCGTGTTCACTACCACGGTCGTCGTGGTGTGTGGGGCCCTCTCGCCGTTCCCTGCGCTCTTCCGAGAAATCCCCCAACCGCTGGGGAAGCGAACAGTCTATGGTAGCCGAGCCTTTTTAATCAGCTAGTTTCGCTTTCCGGCCGAAAGCTCGCGGCCTGGTGCAGTGGCGGAGGAGGGGAGAGTTGTCTGGGAGCGATACGGCACCAGCCAGACGCGGCGAGGCGCGAGGCGAGGCGAGGCGGTCAGCCTTGGAGCGCGCGCGCTGCAACCCGCAGGACTCGGCTGCATGCTGGCGCTGGGTGTGGCCTATGTGGCGCGGGGCTCCGAGCTCCTGGCATCGTCAAGATGCCGTTGTTGTGGGCACTCTTTCCATTCATCGTGGTACTCTGCTTGGGCTATTGCATCTCGGGAATTCGGTTGGACTGATTGGCGGTGTTCCATACAGTGCATTGCCTTTGTGGTGCATACGAGGCTCAAGTTGTTCCCCTCCTTTGTTCCAGGAGCGGCTGAGACGACGACGATCGCCGACTCGACGACGACGACGCTCTCGAGCACCTCGACGGAGGCTGTGCCCACGACCACGGTGGCCGCCGCTGCCTGAACACCGAGTGACGAGTGAAGCTCTCTGTTTGATATGCCGGGGAAGCATGCCGAAAGAATTTATAGCACCATGACATAGTTTTATAAGAATCTTGTATGAAAAAGTATTCTGCGCTCAAATCTTGCCAAATGAGGTTTTTAGGATTCTCTCTCGCTGGGTAGATAATGGCTATGAACGGGTTATATTTTGAAGAACATAATTGAGGGCAAATTGATCAAAATGCAGTACTATATTAGCATTAGAAACAAGAGTAGTAAAAACAGAAACATACCAAAGTTTTCCCTTTGAATAAGAGATGTGATATCGTGCATCAGCACTTGTATGAATCAGGGTATTTTTAAAAATCGCATTGTTTTGTTCGTGTTTTTGTTGGCGAGCAGTGTTTCAGTGTCCAGCGGATATAATACATGTATAATAAGGGATAAGTCTCGTCGGAACCAAATAAATGTAATTGATGACAATTATTTTTTACACCCCACATCTTCCTTCATTTCATGTGCTGAGAGGCGCAAACAGACCCTTTCCTCCTTCACCACTTCATATCTCTGGGAAAGAGAGCCTAAGTAACACTAACAGCAGTATAGGTAACATACAGGAATATCAAAATATATATTTTGTTTAGGACCATCCCCACCCCGGGCGTATGGCGCGGCCCGGACACGCAGGGTGAAGTCCTCCGGAGGCTGAACAAGCCAAGGCACGCATGCGGCCGGATATAATAATAATAAAGTAGGCCTCACTGCGCCTCACTGTAATGCACATTACGACCATTCGTGACTCATAGGGGACACGTGTAGCGCGCCCCGTGGCGCCCGGCCGGGGTGGGCCCCGGCTCGCCCCGACGGACTCGCCCTGCGCCTCGCGTCCCGCCGCGGCGCCGACCGGCTGGATCATTTACGATACAGTTGGAAAAACGCACAGCGCGTGTCAGATTGGAGTGATAGCTCAATATCAAACGGAACGCATGATTGGGGCATAAAAGCAGGAGCCGTGCGTGAGTAATTAATTGAGAAGGGAGTTGCAAACCACAGGGGGAGAGTTTTCCTTAAGAATCTCGATCCAAGGGAAGGGCACTTCGAAATCAGCCTCCAAGGAAGCAGGACCTTCTGACCCGCTCCCGAACCATCCCGAGGACCCCAGTCTCCGAGGCAAGCGCCACCCTCCTCGACGGCCAGCTCGACTCCGCTCCTAGACCAGCCCCTCTTCTTCACTCAAAAAAATCAGTGTAGAAAAAATCACGAGAAAATCATAAAAAATCATGAAAAAAACACAGACAAAACCAGAAATGTATGCAAAGGCTTCCCAGCCAGACGAGGTTCCAAGATCGCCACTTTACGACGAGGGAGACGGCTAGAGTCTAGACAAAAAGATGCAGCCGGGGTCAGAATGAAAAGAGGTGGGAAGGGGGAGGGGGCGGGCAACGGATACCGTGCCATTCCAGTTATCGAGTCGCTCCGGTGACATCTTAACACGTTATCAACCCGAGGAATCACACAGAATAGGAGTCAGTAGTCAAGGGTCGTCACGCCTTATCTGGCGGGAATCATTTGAGCTACCTGGGTGACCTGCGCGCGGGTAGTGAGCGCGGCGGGGCGAGGCGTCAAAGAGTCTGCAGCCCATACCAGGACAGCACCCACCACCGTGCGGGTGAGGACCAGACCACCCGCCTGAGCGGCGGGGGGGGGGGGGGTCGTCGGACAGCTAAAGTACCTGCGGCAAGCCGGCCCGGTCGCTTCACGCCTAATTAGCCTGAAAGTCCGAGATCGTTGGTCTGATATCGGGTGGCAAGCCCCTGACTACACACATGCGCTCCCCCCGCGTGCGAGCCGGGCCACAACATCCCGATCGGGTGGGGGGCGGCACCTATGCCCGGCCGCTCCGGGCCGGAGCCGCCGCCAGGTGTGGAGGGGGAAGGACTCCTATGACGCCGGCCTACGAGAGGGATGCTACAGCACCCCCGATGCGCCCGAGGCCGGGCTGACCAATCCTAGACCAGGTACCCGGGGCAGTCCAACCAATCAGAGGGCAGCTCCTGGGGAGAGCCCGCCGGCCGAGGCCCGCTGGGACTGCACCATCCCGTTGGCGCCCTGGTGGGGGATAAAGTTATATAAACTATTGCGACGAGCTCCAGGAGCTCAGAATATACCCGCCGACAAAAAGCTAACCAGGAGCCCTTGGATACAGCGCCTAGGTCCCTCGCGAGACTTGCTCTTCTGAACCAGCCACCTTCAGATCCATCGAGGAGGACTTTGCTGTAGATCTCCACACCGCTCGTCCCGGTAAGTTTCTCGCCCGCATTGCGGGTCCCGCGCTCTCCTCGTCTGCAAAGGGTTCTTCGAGTGCTAATCATAAGTTCGTTAGGTAGGGATAGGCTTCGCAAGGGTAGGTGGACAATTCGACATTTCTATACCATAAGCTAAGGTTCATATCACTGTAAGTTACGGTAATGCACCTTACTCTGATTCACCGTAGATTAGAGTGACATTCAGCGTAGCTTAGAGTTACATTTACCAAAACCTCCGGTGAAAATTGATCGTAGGCTACGGCGCTGCAGGGTCGCTGTAGCTTTACGGTGAAATTTACCGAAAGTATTTAACAGTGTGGTTCTCTTGTACCATATATACGCCACAAAAACGCAGAGACAAAGGGCAGTAAACGAGGCGCGGCGGCACCCTCAAACGCATCACCGCGTTTTCGTGCATCTGCTGCTAGGGTGCTCGGTCGCCGTGCTCCCTTTCCCGGCGATATCGGTCGGGCCAGCGGTCGTAAAACGCGCTCACCCCAAGGAGGGGAGGTTTACGAGCCAACGGCCGAGCAGCCCCCACCCTATCCTGTTGGAGGGGTACCCTGCATCGGCGGTTGGAGGGACGGGATGATCTCCACAAAGCGACCTGCGCGAACAATGGATCCGGTCTCCGGGCGAGCCCGGGGGGG